GTGTAATATTGATAGGAGGAATACCGTTTCATTTTCCCGGTACCATTCAAGAAAGCATCTGATAGAAGGGCATAGTCTTAAAGATCCATTTTATTTTCAACTGAGTTGGGGGGGGGGGTCCCGAGCAATTTTAGATTGGTGAAACCATCAAAAGCAGCAGAATAGCTAAATCACTTGATCCACCAGGCCTGGCTTTAAAAGAAATTACCGAAATACAAAGGAAGATTGCTTGTGATATCAACTGGAAAAAAAGAGGGGCGGATAATTGATGAAAAGCTGACTTTGTGAATATTGCAAGAGAAGGGTTAACAAATAGAGCAGCCCGGGGGAGCAACATAAGCCACTGAGCTTATTCTAGCTCGGTCAAGGCACATAATTGATTATACAAATGAGTCCCACTTTTCTAATAAATCCGTTGCTATTATACCAATTTCATTTGCCCGCGGAGCCTCCAACTGGTATTGGAGAAAAGGCAATAACGTTTAGCAGTATGTCTTTAACAGTCGCAAGCATTACATGGAGAACATCCGACGCAGTAGACAACCCTCTTCGGTTGTTGTGGCCCTTTCTTCTCTTGCGTTTGGGTTTTTTTTGGTTCAGTTTTGTTTTGTTATTTGTTTTGGTTTGTTTTGTTGTGTTTCAATTTGTTATTTTTACATGTGCAAGGGGTGGAAGAAAGGGAATATCCCTGTTGTTGTTGTTGTTGTTGTTGATGATGATGATTGTTATGGGAGGGAGCAGGAATGCAAGGAGAACAAAAACGGAAAAGATTATTTGCCATATATTTCTTAGTTGAATGAAGTTCTGAACATGCATGCATCTGTATAATAATGCATAGTTTTTGAAAAAGCAGTGTAAATTTTAAAGTGTTGTTTCCCCCACTTGCACTATTTACATTTTTATTTCAGGTCAAGAGACGCTTTGACCCCGCCGGGTTTGGCATTTCCAGACTGGCTGGGATACGTACCAGCGGGAAGGTGGAAGTACTCGATAAAATATAATTCTCATTTGGCAGTCCAGTTCCCGTCTTTCGCATGCAATGCAAAGAACCTAGCTTGTATATATTATTTATACGGACTCCATTGGCGTCTGCTCACTATCCACCTGAGGGATGTCAAGCGCAATAAGAGACAGAAAAAAAAAATTCAAATTTTTCCAGTGGCATTGTGGGTATCTCAAGAGCTAAATAATAAGAACGTCTCAAATACACTCGTCCTGCAATGCTATCGACCGATGATTTCAGGATCAGTTGTCTTACCGAGATAAAAAAAAATCTTTTGACACCAGGCTCAGTCAAAAATGCAATATTATAGATCTACACTGATGTTCTACCATTATTTTTTTAAGTAATGTTTTGATTGGTGACTTCTATCTCATTCTACTATCGATACTGTCACAATCATCATAGTTGGCCAAGAATCAATGCATGTTTACTAGCCGTATGCATTTACACATGCAAAATGCCTGCCAATCCAGGAGCTAATCAGACAAAGAAAGTTATGCAAGGGAAACAAAATATACAAACGTTAAATAGCTACAAGTTCCCATTTATACCCTTTATATATATATACATATATATATTATATCTATATCTA